TTTTTACAAGGTATGATATGAAAAAACAGACAATAAATCTGTTTGTTTAGTTTTGTACATTCAACCTTAGGTACTGTACCTCATGAATTCCCCCCTTCGGTTTTCACTTTCAAGTCCTCGGTTGCATTGTTCCTTTCTTCACTCACTTGTACCTTCCTGTTCACGTTTCCCTTTTTTTTTTTTTTTTTTCCCCTCTGTGCTGTAGCAACAGAACTGAGAACAGTCTTAAGTTTCGAACAGCTGCCAAAAAGTAGATGCTCACGCTTGAAAGTGCTCGCACGTGCATCCAGCAGAGGTAGGATAAGTGGTCTTCTGTGTGTGTTGACCCATGTTCTCACGGCTGTAGGTACGTGCACATGATGCAATGGATGTTTTACTCTCTGTTATAATTCTCAGTCTGGTAGATTTTGGTGTCCACCTCCTGAAGCATCTCCTGAATGGTACTGTCATGGATGTACTGCCTAACTGAGAGTATACCTGATTCCAAACCCAGCCCGAAGAGCTACGCTGGATATCTGCTTGATTGCTGCAGCTTGTTCAGCTGTCGGACAGTGAGCCAGGGGAGAAAGGGTTTGGGCAAAGAGACATTTCAATCTTCAGGAAGACACGTCTTTCTCAGATTATCACAAATATTTTGAGAGAGCAGTGGTGGTGCACTATGGAGTCTGACAACACCAAGTAAGTGTTTGGAGCATAATCCACAGACGAAGATGCAGATAACATTTCTTTTATTAAAGATACCTTCTTTTATTAAAGAAAAAAATATTTAGCCTTAACTGAAAGTTTCATCTGTATGAATAAAATTATATTCTTTTGTTTACTGTGCTTATATCCAGTAGTTCAGATACCAGATTTCTATTCATCAGGGCTACTCTGGCTGAAAAAGTACATTATCTCAGCACTATAAAAATAAGCAAACTTCGTTGTGTTCTTGTCTTCCAGCCTTATATAGTGCAGTGTACTGAGGCAGAGGGTAGGTAGTTAAGCAATGGAATTAGAGTAGAGGAGTTCTTCTAATGACAAGTAGCATAGTTTCTTGAAGGGCAATAAGAGAGGAGAACTGACATCTGCATCTCTACCATGAAGACAACTAAGGTTACTAAGGGAAAATGTCTTTTTTTTAGGATCATACTAAAATTCAGTTTTATGGACTGACAGTCATTCTTGAATTAATTCTTCCTCTTGTATATCTGTTTCCAGATCTGTAACTTTTCTTAAATTTAATTATCTAAATAAACAGTGTTTTCTTTTTCAAAAATTATTTGCTCACGATACAATGGTCCTTATAGTATTAATTCAGGAAATAGGCTTATGCAGAAGAAGTAACATGACTCAGAAACTGCACAGGGTAAACAGTAGGGATATTATGCTTAAGTGTAAGTACATTTTTATTATGCCCACACTAATGTTTTTTATCACTAGAAGAAAAGCTTTTGGAGATTATGAAACTGAAGAAACACGTACTCACTAAAATATGTTTCAATTTTTTATTAGCACAGATTACAAAGTTAAACATAACAATATATATAGTGTTCTGAATACAAGTCTTACAATAGCACCAGTCTTGAGATGTAAATAATGTAGAATCACAGTATTCACTGATTTATATATATAATTTTCTCAAAATTATTATGAGAATCTTAAATTTAGTGAATTAAGACTTGAAGGTGTTCAGTAAGTTTCAGTGTGTACAAAAGAGATCTAGAAAACCTTTCTGATTCTCTTTCAGATCAAAAACTTGATCTCTGTGAAGTTAAGAACACAACACAAATGTTTCAGAATATTTTGTTTCGGAAGAAGTGCTCCTGTGGCCAGTTGCCTATCAATATTTTTCATTATGTGTCCACCACTCCTCTGTCAAATTTGAAATTGGTCAGCAGATCTGAAAGGTACTTGACAGAGGGAGAGTGTGGATAAAAGTGTCAGGTGTTCATAGAGTTCACGTTGGCCATCCCTATATAGACATCTAGGCTAACCACTGGGTTCTTTTCACTGAGCTGTTGCGTCTTGGTTCTGTTGCTCTTAAAAGGCATATGGACAGTTCTGGTGAAATAAATACATTGTTTATCCAGGAAGTGTGGCATCCATAGGTGAACGCCAGCACTTACATGCTACTTGTTCTTGTTTACAGCCTCTCAAAATTCCCCTGCTGATGCTGATCCTACCAATTTTCCCCTGAGTTTACGCAGACTCTAATTCAAAAAGTATTGGAGACTGGAAAAATTTCCAATAACTTCTTAGGATTTTAGGCCATTTCTTTACAAAACCCGTTAGAAACAGCGACTTCCTGTGGCAACAGAAAAAGTGATTTATTTGTGGTTTCCCTGATTTGAGTATGTCATATTCTTTGAACTCCAGTATTCTAACAAAAGCTGTAAAAATTGTGAAAAAATGCTACATTTTTAAGGACAGAAAAATTAAAATTTATGAATAAATGTTTGGAACAGCTCATTGCATTGAAAAACAATGCAGCAGCCTTTCAGGGCAGAAATATCCTTGCACTGCAATGTAAGAATTTTAGCTTCATTAGTGTAGTGTATCAGATATAATTAAACCAATAAACACATACAGTTTGCACAACTAACAGACTGTTTCATGTTAAAAACTTGATACTCTTCACTTTAAAGTAGATCAAATGAGATACAGAAAAGATAAATTCTCCACTCTTCTCACAAAAGCAGATCTCTGAGGTCACTGTTGTCCCAGCCTAGGCATGAGTTTATTAGTTACTGATCAAGTAACAAGCACCTTGGTCAAAATTCCCTCGCTGTTAATGTCATTAATTTATTGCATTATTAGGACTGGTATTTAAATAATCTTGACAAGTTTTGTCAAAATAGCACCAATAAACTCAGCAGATTTTATAAAAAGAAAGTCCTAAAGAAATAAAAGTTTACATTTGTGTCTCACCAAGCTCTCTTAGTTAATTTTCCCTGGAATTCCAGAACACAACAGCAAGAGATCCCTGGAGTGCTTTTTTAGATCTTTTTTTTAAACTATCAGAAATAGAAACAGGTCTAGATGGGTACTCAGAGGTATTTGATTTGGGGAATTCTTGAAACAATTAGCCAGTCTATGTTCATCTAGAACACTCCTTAAGCAAATGTGTCAGTGTCCAGCCAAAGTATCTAGAAGCTTGGCATGATGGTTAACATGATCAACAAAAACCCTAAAACCCAACCTCACCCTGAAAATAGAAATCATTTTGTCTCTGTCTGTTGATACCAACAATAAGGGTGGTGAGGTTCTGTCCACACTATTTTTCCTCCAATTCTGTAATGCACTAGTGTTTATGTCCAACAGTTCTTTCAGAAAGGTTCTCTCGTATGTATAGACTGTCCAGCTAGTCACATACATATCCTTTTAACGTCACAGGCAAGGAGAGAGGATAAATAATCCACGCATGCCAAAGGCAAGGAGGAGGGATAAATAATCCCTGGAACAACATCACTCAGCCCAGAGAGGAAGGCTGGTTCTACTGCATGTGTCCCTCCCAGGACTGAGAAATTGCTGTGAGCATCCCCAGAAGAAGGTTTTGCACCCCTTGGTCAAATAGTGTACAGATGCTGTTGATCCCGAGGCTGGCCGAGTAGATGAGCAGATGGGGACAAGGGGAGACGTGGCTGCTGGCAGCAGGCAGGCAGATGGGAGGAACGACAGTTCGCAAGGTACAGGGCAAATTCACCCTGCTCGGTGCCACACCACCCGTCACACACTCCTAGAGAGCAGAGGGAGGGCTTGGGAGTACCTTTAATTTTTGGTTTTAGGAAGCCTATGACTTGGGTTTTTTTAATTTTAAATCTGGAAGTAAGAAAATCCTACAGCAAGATTTCTGACAGATCAAATATAAATTTACTATGATTCTATGAAATGGGAACACTGCAACGGCATGTATTTTTTAAGAAGTTAAAATTAAGTTATGAGCAGCTGTTTATTCCTATTAAATGCTGATTTTTAAGCCTTCCTCAGAACTAAATCTGGATTTTTTTAATTTTTATTTTTAAAAACCTCAAATCCCTAATAAGGACTTAGATTAATACATTTCAAAAGCCATAGCTGCTTTAGTACAGAATGTGTCTCACGATTACATTGGTTTATACACACATACAAATCCTATTGATGTTCATGTATCACTAAATATCCCAAGATAATATTTTAGGATTAAGCTTCAGTATTAATTTTTTTGTGTAAAGCATCCTTTGATTTAGCATTAGATTTACAGAGGTCCCATTACTTAATTGCACTAAAAATCACAACAGCATCCTGCAACTCCAAAAAACATCGACCAGTTTTGGTTAGGGATGTGAAATGATATGCAGCTCTGTGTGAGCAGATCCACTGGGACCTGAAGCTGGACTTGGGAGGGAGAAAAAGAAATAAGGGATTTGTTCCTGTGGGTACTCTGTCACTGAATCCTGCCACTGATATTCTCGTAAGACATTGTGCTAGGGCATCCACTAAAGAAGCCTCAGACTCCTGACATAATGTCCATCCCCTCCTCATCCAAGAGAGCCTGTTTTTAGGCAGTAGAGTCTGCCCTCATTTTCACCCCAAGCAGTCTTCCTATTTTTGTGAAGACAGGGTAAAACTGCTGTTTTCATTACAAACTAATTAAAGCAACAGCCAAATCACAACCCTCCTTCAGAGCAAAGCAAAACTACTTATGTGCTATTCTTCTTTTTAAAAAAAAATTGTATTTTCACACAGAAATGTGATGAAAGCCTTCAGGCCTACCTCTTTGGTGTAAAGATATATATGAGTAAGTAAGTGACACATTGTAAGTTTTTGGGAGAGTTCAAAATCTTTACCTGGACTTAATCTTTGCAACTGACCTCTATTCCTTGTCCAAGGCATCCAATGCATCTGCACCTCTGGCAGCATGTAAAATAAACCTTGCTGATAATTAGGCCAGTTTTCTGACTTCATTCCCTCACCTCTGCTGATAAATAAAACTGAAACAATATAAATGTCCACATGCTTTCACGTGGATCCTTCATTATTTACAGCTTTCTTGAACATATGTAGCTGTTCCGTTTGACGTTCCTGCAGTCAGTTGCTTGCCATTTTCCTCGCTTCTGCACCAATACACAATTTCTTCCTCTCTTTGGAAACTGGTAGGACCCTCTTCTCCAGTTTATGTAGGTTACAGGTTCTCCTCCATTCCACTCCCAGTGTCCAGGATTGACTTGGTCATTCAAGCCTGTGTGAAATCGATAAGACCAAATCAGTGATGTTTATTGTCTCTGGAGCCTGTTGCCAACAGAAGCATGTCGTTCTACCCCATTGTTACAAAATGCATACAATATTGTGCTGAGAGTTAAAAAAACCCCAACAAACGTGGAGGAATACAACTAAAATACAATTTAATATTTCATAAGGCCATCTGAATCACAATTAGTGCCATCTGAATAAGGGAAAATATACTTCACATTATTGGCTATCTAAAATGTTTTCTCTCCTTCCATCCGTTGTATGTCTATCACCTCCCAGATTTCTCTTTTCATACTTAAGATGCCAAACAGCATGTTTTATTCAAGTCTAAGCAGCCTCAGATGCATCCAGATTCCTTCTGAAAACTAAATCCCACAGATCTTTGTAGACCTTGTTTACACTGTTGAAATTAACAGTTGTAAAATTAGGTTGTGTTAATTAATACAACCTAAACCACATCTTTTCATGTATCCTCTGAGTGATTAAGACCAACATCGGTGGCATATTTTGAGACATGACCTGCCTTCTTAGCTAGAATGGTCCAAGATTAGAAAATTGACACAATGGTCTTGTAGTCTTTATTCTTAACAGAGGATTTTATTTCTCTCAGGCTGACAGAATCATGATACCATTAAACATGATCCCAAAATAATGGTAGTTTTAAATGTTAATTTAGTATAGCTAGTAAATCCATCTATGAAAATTAATAAGAGCTGAAAATTGCATCTTATTTTACCAGCTAGTATTTCAAAGGAAAAGGTTTCAAGGCAAAAACAGTCCAGCAGTAGGCAACACGATAAATTCTTCTTTTTGATAAAGACTTATAAAATTAGCCAGGTAAATTATGGCTTTCATCTTATGCCTCGCTCTGAAATAATAAAAGTGGTAGAAAGTTGAGGAAAATGCAACGTTTGGAAACCAGGCTGAAACTGCTGCAGCAGTTTCTGCTTCCCAAGGTGCACAGGAACTTTAACCCTCAGAGGGGACAGGCGGCTGATGTACTTGCCTATCCAAAAGGGCTTCCTCCCGCTGAAGTCCCACAGCCACTGCATGTGTTGCTCATTAGCCACGCTTGCTAGACTCCCCAGGTATCTAGGCTCAAGGAGAGACGACACAGTAATTAGCATTCCACAGAGTGACAGACAGCTCCCAGCGACTTACCAACAGGGGGCACTGATTCTAGTATAAAGCATATAAATAACGTTTCACGGGAAAAACACTACTTACTGGCATGAAAGAATAATTACACGAATATAAAGTCTTAAAATTCTGGATTACTTGGAGAGGAAAAGTCCTAGTCTGATTCTTTAAATCAGCTGGGCAACTGAAAGAGAAGTATACAGAAAATGTGTGCCTCATACTCACAAGCTGTGTTTTAAACACAATCATTGGTGGATTCTTTTCTTTAAAATAACTATCTGCCATCAATAAAATCCAAGCCACTGAAAGATACAACTTCACCCATTTGGTAGTAGAGCAGACAATATCTTTTTAAAATCGTGTTCTGACAAAACCAAAGCTTTGAATAGCACAGTTGTTAAAATCTTGGCCATGTTTCAAAATGCAGCTAAGTGCATGTAATGTAGGGGTCTGGCTTAGACTTCTAGTGTGGTTCTGAGAGGTAATGCTGGGTTGTCCACAATGACTACGCATTTACTTCAGATGGGAGAGCAGTTGTGTATTAACCAGACTGTTCCAGAACGAAGACAATGCAGAAGCTCTGCTCTCTGTTTGTGCTTGAAGTATGCCAGCCCCAAAGGAGGACTTGCAAGCCCTACTCACTGAGTGGCCTTGCCACTGAAGTCTTTCAACTAGTACCAAGCATGCAAGCACCAGCAGGCTGCTCTTAAGCCGTTTAGAAATCAGGCTAAATCCTGAAGCATTAAGAGACAAATGGCATCCTTTGCATTTGCCAGGAACTGTCAGCCATCAGTGCCTCCACTTTCTTACTTATTCATCTTTTTGTCTGCCTTGGTATCATGTCACCTTTTTACCTGTCACACCCTCTGATTCTGAGCCTCTGCCGTTTCTGTTCTCCCATATTTCTGACTGACACTCAGTCTAACGGTGACGCCAGCCTCTTCAACCTCCCAGAACATCCTAGGAGGTGCTTGATGGGGCCCAAGTAAACAACACTGCTCACCAAAATATATTTTAAGAGAGCCTAGCACTTTTCTAGCAGCAGAGTAAGTCAATGGCATTATGAGGATTTTGCGGCTTTCATGACTGTTGCCAGATAAGAGTCAAAAGTTCAGTATTGCTCCAAGGAAGGTAAAAAGTGTCTTTAAGAGCTGGGTCAACAATCAGACCTCGAATGGCATGGCAGTCTTGAATCCACTATGGAGACAATGAACAGATGTTGGGGTGCAAGCCCACCAGAAGTCTCCTTGCCAGTAAGAGATCCATGCCTGGATCTCCATTCCCATTTGCTGCCTGGTATCTCTTCTAATAGTACTGCTCCTGTGGATGCCATATCATGATGCCTTACAAGATGGGGAAGCAGGCAAATTTTACGTATTCAGGATGAATTCACAGTGGTAGCCCACAATATTCTGCACAGTCCCTACTGCAGAAAATCCAGACCACTCCTTAGTCTGGGCACACAGGGGGGATGGTATGGAACCCATTCATTGTAATGCTGATGGTTGCTCCAGCTGCAAAGGCTGCCTCCATTGCTCTTGCAGTCAACAAAAGCAGCAGTGGATTCACCCTCTGACCTGCCAAGGCCTGCAGGACAGCTGAGTGTCAGCCCTCACAGGCCCTTTGATCATGGCTGCCCTAGACCAAGCACTGCACAGTAACATGGGTCCCACCAAGGCCCTCCTAATTTCTGTCGTGGTCAAAGAGCAAAGCGTAAAAGATCTCGTTGACATCTGTGCACAATCTCCTCAGGTGGAGGTGTGGCAAGATGGCCTCAGAAACGCTGATCATCACTTCACAAATGGCAGACTGTCCCAGCAACTGTCTGCTAAGGAACCTGCTTATGGTACAGGCTCCCAGAGCTGCATCCAGCGAAGCTCCTAGCAGAGGATTTGACTGTAGTTCTCATCGCGGTGAAGTTTCATGCGTGGTGTTGGTGCCAGTGTGTCCCAAGGATGACATGCTTCCACACTTGAGAGCCATTCTACCAGGCACTGAATCTGCAGTGAACCAGAAGCAAAGCTGTTACACTGACAAAAGCTCTTAGAAAGTTTTGTGCTCCGTCTTCTTCCTCAGACAAGTGCAGGAAAGCAGGCTCAGCTAATTCAGGGTGTCCTCCCAGGGTAATGTTCATCGGCAGGATGCCATTCCCCATCACAGTGACTGTGCTTGGCCACTGTCCAAGCCTGGGGCTAAGGAGAGATTTGGGCAGCAGTATCCATGGTACCACTACTGGTGAGCAAACCCAGAAATAGGGCATTTTATTTGGCTTCTGCCTAAGGCCAATCAAAGCCCTGGAACTATATCGTTTACTTTAAGTAAGTATAACTTAGTCCTGTTGTTTCAATTGTTTCAGAAAATATGAAAACAAAGAGCATCAATGTGTATCAGTAACTGCTCTATCATTCATGACGTACAGGGGTGGTCTGAGCTATAACAGTTTCAGACTTCTACTTCAATCCAAGTACCAGTGAGAGTCTTGAGCACTGGGAAAGGAAAACGCTGAAATAATTATAAGGTTATCTAATCTTTTCTCCATAGGACTACTTTCTAAATACAGCCTGAGAAACATACATGACTGAAGAGAGAACAACCATTCTCATTGTTGCACTTCGTCAGGGGTTTTGATGTATTGCAGGGAAATGAGAACAGTCCTGAAGGAACATAGCACTTACAATTATATTACTAACTGCACCTCTAGGCAGAGTGCCAGACACAGGAACTGACAAGATAATGTTATTTATGGAGTTACGTAAATCTAACACTTCCTAATTTAAATTACTCTTGAGAAGGGGTCCTAATGTCCTATTGAAAAAAAAAATCCAATCAAAAATCATATCGTTGATTTCAGTGCTAAATAAGTCTGTTTGAAATTATTGCTGTGTGCTTTAAAATTTTTGTTATCAAAAGCATCCATCATCTTAGAGCAGTTGCCCAAATTAAGGGAAATATTTTGGGTAGTGACTGACCCTGAAACGGTTATATGCAAGTGGAATATGCAAAACACTGAGTACAATGCTGTCTTTAGATTAAATTATCCAGTACATTTAGAGCTCTGTACCATTCTGACAAATTTAACTTCGGCAAAAGCACACTTGACTGGCTAGCAGGAGGACAAACTGCTGCAGTAAATCCACGTCCTGTACTGACGGTAAAGATGGGGAGTGACTGAGCGTCTCTGCTTATCCCAGGCTTTTGTTTGATCACCAGGGAGTAATCCTGGTGCCTTGAAATAGGTGTCTAGTGTTGCTTACGATGCCTGGCGGTATTCAAAACATGCAGGCGAGGCTGACAGACACGACGGAGCCCTGTGCTACTGGAGTGTCAGTTGGAAGTCAGACAAGGGACACTGGGCCTTCAAAACGCTTCTGGGTATGTGAACCCCTATGCTGGAGTCACAAGCAATAATATAAGTTCCACCAGTCACTTACAGAACTAGCACAGCACTAGGAGGAGAGGCGGCAGGGTCCATCACGCTTTGCACTAGGTGACAGAGCCGTCATGAAGGGTCTAACCTATTATTTTAGATGTGGTTCTGCCTGTGATTCCCAAGGACTGAGGCCATGTGCTGCTAATATACAAACAGCAAACAAAATAACAGCCCCTGCCTTACACAGCTGGCAGTAAAGGATCTGACTATATTTAAGGTCTAATTAAATGTTTGACTTTGAGAAGATGAAGATGTAATCCAAATAATAAAGCAAAGGAGACAACTCTGGGCTCTGTCTGTCCAATAGAGAGTCCCTTCAGTGGCAGCAGTGAAACCGTCTCACGTGCGAGTGACCCTGGCTGCACTGACCCTTGGGGAGGACATGTTCCTACGGGATAAACAAGAACTGTAACATAAATCACCAAAACTGCTGCTAAATCAGGCTGCTGTGGGATTGCTCAGCCGTAATATCCCCCAGATGCTCCTCTTTGTGTTGCCAAGGGCTTGTGTGTACAAAGCAAACCTAGAGAAATGTGTTCTTAAACCACCTTTCTCCCCAGTGTATTGGAGAAGGGTTAGAAATGGTGCAAGATTTTTAGAGCATTTAGATGAGATTTTTTTCTACCCACACTACCACGATGGCATACAGCAACCTGCATCAAGACAAGCACATTTTTGTGTCTGCTTCTATCCTTGCACATGGAAAATGAAGAAAAGTTTGGTATGACACCTGCAACAAATGGGTCCTACATGTGTCAAAGCTCATTAGAAGCCTAAATAGTTTGCATAAGCCAACATACATGTAGGCATGTCCAGACAACAATTGTTTCTGCAATAAATTGATAGCATTGTTTTGATGGAATAGGTTGGCCTCAAATGTCAGGATAACAGTGTTTTTGCTAAGAGGTTAGGAGGATGACTAGCTGGAGGCTGTTACTGAAACAACTTTAACAATGCTTGTGCTTTTTTCCTGCTCTACATAACAGAAAAAGCCTAGCAATAAAATTGAATAGAAGCTTAAAATAATGCCATTTTTGTAGTAAAAAAATTATTCTTATTTTTGAGTTAAATAGGCTCATTTACTGAAAGTCAATTCTAATATTTTAATTTAATGCCTAATGATTTTTTATCTATTAAAAAACTGAAGATTGACCTCTGTGCTGATTTTATTTGTTTGTTGGAAATACCAGATATTTAAATGTCAATAATAGAAGTATTAATAACAGAAGTACCACAATTGGTGGTGATTGCTGGCAGGGAGCTGGGCAAATGCTCAACATAAGATCTATTAAGTTATCTTTCTGTACCACTTTTAAACATGTGCCTGAGGTTGTAGTTTTGTAAATCAGTTCCAGATGGAGGACAGGAGGTACTCCATTTACCAGGATAAAGCTTTCTTAGTCTGTGGTAATCTCACATTAATTGAATCATCACTGTCCTAGGATTCATTTGCTTGTGGATTCAGTGCTATGCCTCGGCTTTTTGTGTAGGTGTTTAACGCTGTCATTAATTTACTGTTGTTCAGTTTAACTTCTACATTGCACATTATAGCCTTCAGCAAGAAGGCTACAAATAATATAGGTCACCAGGAGCACACTCTTATAGGAGATGGGGAACACCTCCCAGCCAAGAGTTTCCCAAGGGATCAATTGAATGTTGAAGCTGCCAGAAAAAAACAAACAAACAAACAGACAAACAAAAAACCCCACCAACTTAGAAACAAACGAGAATATTCACATTTTACAGCTTTGTTTGGGTAAGTAACAAAACAAAAGCAGGCTATAGAAAGCCATTTCAGAAGCTGAAATTTTAAGTAAAGCAATTAACAGTGTGAGATTTGTGGTGAGCTCACAAGAGCCAGTAAAATTTACATTTTAGTAAAGAGTAACTTCCGTCAGCTCATGGGTATTAGAACTAAGACTTTCCTTTTACCTGTTACCAAGACAACATAATCTGACATAACTGGGTGGAATGAATAAATATTTGTTATGCATGCTTGTCCATGTTTCACGTTGCCTGCATGAAACACTTATGAAAGATACTCTGTTTCTTTCATCTCTCAACACTTCCCATTTTCATTTTTCATTTCATGGGGTAATGGTCTTTTATAGCCCCTCATGTTTTTCAGCCTGGTCCTCCACATGCATGATCGCAGGGTAAGCTCAATGGAGAGCATTTCTTCCAGTCCTTAAACTATCACTCCTAAAACCAAAATCACAAAGCAATCCTCCAAAGAGTAAGATTGGCAGATTTTCTATTGCTCTCCTACTTTGAGACAATTTATTATTATTATTTTGTTGTTGTTGTCATTGTTATTATTATTTTTACTGTTGCTGTTATTGATATTGATATTATTTATATCCTTAATATTATTGATATAATCAATACCATTAATATTAATCAGTATTAATAACCCTAATAATTAATTGATTAATTAATTAATTGATAATTAATAGCTCTAACCCTAGGAAATCATCCTCAGTGCAAGATGAACAGCTTCAGGAGTTCATGTTGTGATCAAGATAGCATCACCACCTGAAATGTTATGAAACTAGCAATATTTATATCCGCCGCTGGGTCTGAATCCCAGGGCTTGTTCTGTTCTGGGGAGAGCTGTGCAGCACAGCCAAATTGGGGCTTATCTGAATGAGCTTGGCCTCGAGAATAGCATTCAGTTCAGGGCAGCCACAGTGCGCAGCAGACACATTCACTTGGAGAAGGCTCTTACTGCTCTCTGCAAGCTCGAGCAGCAGCGTTCCAGCTGACTTTGTGGTTCACTACCAGGAAGTAGCAGCTGCCTTCGTGATGGCTCCATCCAGAGGGACACTTCTTCATGCTTACCTCCTAAAATAAAAGAGGAAAAGGCAAACCAGAGTCCTGCTCACAGTGATCTAGGTCTGTGCGGTAATAACCACACTGAAAGCTGGAGTTGCTGCTTATGGCCTCCCCAGAATTAAATTAAACATGAAGTTTGGTGTGTATCTGTAGAGTTACAGCATTGCTTAAAAGATGTAAAGAAATAAATGCCTGCCAGAGGAGCCTGCAATTCATAACGAATAGCGTTACAGGTGACACAAGGTTTCAGTTCCAAAGATCCTCTGGAGAGACCACATCAGTTTGGACACCATTTTCTGTCTCCTGCAGTCTGCGTAGGGAATACAGAGCAACAAAATCCAGCATGACATCTTACGTGGTGTTGGGGATGTGTGCTTCCAGAATACTTAAGTGAGCTAATTTTACTAACTCACTCATTCACTCACAGACTTCGTTCACTGACTGCCTCAGGCCTACATCCCCACAAGCACCAACATCAGTGTCCACGTGGTTCATCCAGGAGCACCGGTGGGTGACAGAGAGGAAAGGCAACCCCAGCAATGAAGCCCTCACCACATCTCTGGGAATCCTCTTTTTTCCGGTGACAGCGAACTTGACTCTGGACAACTCTTTTATTCCCTGTACAAGTCAATGGTTGTTACAGGACGGTCCTTTGTTTGAGAGTCTCAGTCATTGTGGACTCCATGCTCTGATTTAGATGCATACTCAGGATGACATTTTTACCTTGCTTTGGGAATTCCAGAATTTCCATATTATCCCATCACACTGAAATAACTTTTGAGTGCTTTCTTCATAATGCAAGAGACCTTTTAAATCTGGAGTACAGGCCTTTGGAAAAGAGTAAAAGTCCTGGAAAGAGAAATGTCACTTGCACATTCGAAGGAAAATAATTACACACAAAAAAAAGCCACATGAAACAGATTTAATGGGTCTTATATTAAAAATTTATGACATGAAAATTCTTCAAGGGTTGAGTTGTTAATTTATCTCTGTATTGGATAAGCTCAGCTTTGGAGTGGGAAGGGCTAGGCTGCAAATCTCAGAGGTGTTAACTCATTTTGTAAAACAGCATGACTGAAAACAGATGGTGAAAATGCGTATGAAACAAAACATCTCATACCTGATGTCTTGAGCTTGGTTCAGATGCTAGTTCTGCCTTATCAGCTTGTGGGATTTCTTTCTTCCTAGAGGAGGTGACATACATTTCTGGTTGTTCTTGGTTATTTACTGACACATGAGCCTTCTTGTTTGGTTTAGCTGACGAGGTGCCATCCTCTATTTTGAGTGATACCAGCCCATGATACTTTGTTTTACGGTGTCACACACAAGGAGGAGAGGGAAAAGAGAGAGTTACACACACAAGCAACTCTTAAATAAACTCCACCAAAAAAAAAAAAAGGCATTATTAGACAAATTGTTGCAAATCAAGGAGAAGTGACACCGAAGAAAAAAGATACATAGAAAAATGAAGTATTGGTCATAATGAATAATTAAAGTTGATAAAGCCTGAAAAGAACAGAATCAGAAAGATATCACAGAAATGTCTGAGCAATCCTCTTACTTTGAAAACCACATCAGTTCCATTTCTAAATACAGATGAAGGATGAACCTGAAAAAGGTAGAGCAGCAGAATGAGATGGGGATATGCAAATACAGAATAGAAGCAAAAAGACGTTATGCAAGATTTACTGCAAGATCTAGGTTACAAATCATGCAGAAAATATCTTGGGTTTAGTTATTTCTCTTTCTGAATGGAAATGGATCACCTCTGAAAACAGCCATTAAAATTCACACATTACAAGTGTGTTTATAAACAGATTCCATTAACTTGTAAGATCACAGTAGCAGAATGTTGCTAAATCACCTACTTAAACCATTGATGTAGCTTAAGCAGGAAAAGCAAGAGGTGAGTTTTAAGTAACTGTTCCCTGTTTAAACTAACAGTATTTTCAGCTTTACATCTTCCAGAGCAGATTCACAGCTTCTCTACATCGGCTTCAGTTGCTTCTTCTAGCTGACACATAATTTAGACAAGATTCAAACCTGCATAATTGTTTGATGCATGTTTCCTCCCCCAACTCTGTTCTTCCTCTCTTACATACATGGATCTTCAAAATATTTTTTTTTTTTTTTTAAATTCCACACCCCTCCCCAACCCTCCCCCAGGGTTTTTAGATAGCTCTCAGCTCTGACTCAAGGCAAACCCAGGCAGTGGTTACTGTATGGCCAGGTAAGATCACTACAACAATATGACAACTAAATGAAGATATCAAATCCCAGTGAATTCACAAACCACTTCATCCCTGCACTACAGAAGTGTCTTACTATTCTGCCATTCCCAGTGACTCTCAGCCTGATCCTGGACTGATTTGCCAAGTTCTGTTCCTGCTGTGAGTCCCTTCCGTGCTCTCTCATGCCTTTGGAAGGAGGCAGTAGGACCCCTTCCAAGGGAGCAGCGCCAGGCCTGGGAGGTGATGAGGAGCCCGAGGAAACTGGAAACAGTGTGCTTCTCCCCCAGAAGTCGTGCTTGCTTTGGCCAGAAGAATGAGAATAGCTGCACTGACCTGAAAGCAGAAAAAATGGCAGATGGTCAGTTCTAACTGCATGAGCAGATAACTGGTCATGTTGACATGGGCACATAAACAGCTTGTCATTAAAAGTTGGATGATTCTTTCACTTGATGTGGTTGATTTGCTGTTTGTTCAGTCCTCATTTGTGGGGTTTGCTATGCTACGACTGCAACTACTACCTGTATATGTATTTTTATACAAAATGCGTCTGTCTACCCACGGATCAGAGTTTCAACCAAGCGTATTCTGAAAATACCTGTTTTCATGTGTAGGTTGGGGTTTGGAGTGCTGTTTGTTTGGTCATGGATAGACAGGTATCTTTAACTAATTTTGGTGATACTTCCATCATGCCCACACAATTTTCTCTTCAGAAATACAGGACACTATCGTTCCTACAAAACAGTTGTGTCACTTAAGTCCTGATTTACATCATGAATGTTAAACAGAAAACAGATCTGAAATTTTAAATGGAATTTTTGTAAAATGGAGCCTAATTTATTGCAACATAGGTATTTAAAATCCTATTTCACTGAGTGCTAGAAGAAACAAAACACTCTTCAGCTTTCAAAGGACTCAGCTGCTTTGCTACTTGTTTGTATATTTCTATGGTTGCTTTTTTTTTTTTTTTTGGTGTGAGTTTAGGCACACCACATACGATCACTAAAAAAAAACCAACAAGAATGCAGATATAAAAGCCTAAACTCTGTAATGATCACTGCTGTGTACTGTTATGTTGTGGACCGTGTTTGTTAAGCATTAGAAATGTATTTCTGAGATTTGGGTTTAATTGTTAGGTTTCTTTTTTTGCGAGGAAAATAGATCTTTTTCAGAGGTGTATAACAACCGTTATACAACAACTGGCAAAAAAATTCTAATAGACCTAAAAAACATTTTTTTCCCCACTTTAATAAATGAGAACTGGACTCGTGTTGTTCTGAAAAGTGTTTTCCTTCCTTGCACCCTTCTCATTTTGTACTTGTTGCTTTCCCCATGCTGTGTTTCCTAAGAGGATGAATACGATTGTGTGAGAGAATAAAGGGTCTGCAATTGTCAAGCCTGTTTTCTCTAAAAAGAAATTAAGCATTTTGATCTGAAGGTGAGTGTTAGGAACAACTTGTGGTTGAAAATAAGTAGCTGCTCAGCCAAGATTGTCCCACCTTCTTAATGATGAAGATCAAAAGAGAATACCTCCTTTTGAGTCCAAAATTTTCACTACAGCTTTTGTCCGGGTGCCAAGAACAGCATTCACAGGGGAGTTCAGAACTACTTCAAAGACTTCATCATCTTCCTCTAATCCATCATAGGTAATTGCTATATTCCACGTCTTGGTTGACATTCCTAACAGAAATAAACATTTTAATTACTCTTTAAGTGCTATTTCAATCAATCCAGGTGTCAAAGAAATATATTAATTAACATGTCTGCAGCTAGAATGGAGTAGCTGGTGTATGCTATTGTGCTCCTACCAACTGACTGGACTCCTGCTGTTCTCCCAAATAACACCAAGTTCGAATTTGTTCCTGAGCAATGATGATTCAGTTCAAGTGCATACACTGTAACAAAAAGCTGCTGTAGATGTGGGAAATGGCACTACAATATATAGATTTAGGGCTTGCATTGCAATTTTCGAGAGAAAATGTATTTTATGCTTTTTAACTTGAAATCTTAATTTTAGAAACTCAACAATTATTTTAAATACCTGATCAAAGACTATCTTAGAGTCAAGTACAACATTTTGGGCAGATTTTATACTTGGTTACAAAATTTTTTATTCTGTTTCTTTCCTTTATTGAGTAACTTCAAGCTTGCACTATGAGAATATGAAAAGATCATTCCAAGGTAAATGACTAGGCTGGTTATTACCTGAAAGGATACAAAATTTGTTGAGGAAAAGTCAGAGGCAGCGGGACAGAAACAGAATTCATTGTACACATTGCTGTGAACAAAACATCTTGGGAACTATTTTGCATCACAAAGTCAGTGCTAATGTCCAAAATTAATATCAAAGATAGATGTGCAACATTGTCAAAAGAAGATGACTGCATCCTTATGGCACTTCGCATAACCTCTATTTCTTTGCTCCTTTCCCGTATGAATCCTCTAGCCAAGAGAAGCTGTCAGTACAAACACACTCATAAATTTGGATAGGGTCATCTTGTCCTCCTTCCCATTACAATTCATTGATTGCAGTCTAATGTGTCGATCAGTCCGGTCGATCAGCATAGTTGAGATCTGTTTTTAAAACAAACCTATCACCCTTACTAAATAATTAATAAGTACTACTAATGGATATGTATCAGACATCTTGAATTTAGAATTAAGAAACTGATGCCTTGAATGTAACAGTCTGGAGGGTCCTTCCCTAGGGCTAAGCCTAAGCAAAGGACTTCTGAAGAGGGATACCCAAAAAAGGCTGTGATGGAGCTCATCTGGCTTAACTGAGAAGCTGGCCAGAAAAGGGGAACAGTGTGTATCTCTCCTGTCCACCTTCACAGTTAAATTTTCATGTGGCTTTCCAACATAATTAGAAAGACAATAGCAGTAACTCCAAACTGTCCCATGCTTGGAGAACCTGCATGGGCCAGCAGAAATGGAAAATTCTAGTAAAGGGCCTTGCACCAAAAATCTCTTTGCAACAATCTCTAGCCATTTCATTTCGGAGGTTAATGAGCTTGACTGCATAGTATGTTAGAGGAAAGAGAGCTAGAATTGTCAGCAGTACAGTATGAAGGAGTTTCTACTCTGGTCTCTCAAATCTTTCTTCCATCTTCTAATTTAAAATTAAAAATAAAATCTAACGCTAGACAAAGTGTCTCAGAGAGTGGTTCATTGGTTTCAGAGGTTTCATGTGTGTGTCACGAACATTGGAATTTAGGGCAGATTTCCACCTTCCCACCCTTTTTTTTTTTTTTTTACTGAGGTCTGGTGAGTGTCCCCCTTTGTCCACCTCTGAAAACTAACTAGCAGTCACTTCTTCTAAATCTTTATGTAAAATATGTCTTTCTCAAGATGGGCTGTAGTGGCACATTTCTGAAATAGTCAGAATGTGATTCTAACTGAACTTAAATCTACAAGTTTTCCTACAGGATAGCCAAGTGTATATGACTTTATCCATAGGATGCTACATAATCTCTGTAGCATGCAATGTCTTTTTAAAATAAAGAAATAAATAAAAAGCTTAAATCATAAAGTAAAAATCCGTAGGCTTTGGGCTGGAATTGGCTTGTTATATTCCCTATATCTGGTTTTGAAATGCAAGTAAGCACTTAAAATAACTTTTACCATCAAAATACATGCCATTTATTTCAACTTTTCACAGATTATATGTTTTCTCTCCTCAGTAATCACTGTGACTTTCTGCCATTGAAATCTTACCTGGGATAACCTCTGCTGGCATTGGAGACAACATTCTGGGAGGCCTGTATGGACCCCGTTTTCTGAACTCAAATAAATCCTGGACTATGCCAACAGGATGTGCTACAAAAAAATTCAGACTTGCATATGCAAAGGAAGTGATTATGACAGCAAATTGCTTTTCATTCCCTATTTGTACTATTTTTATGGGCAAACCCAAGTTTCTCAGGTGAAGCAGAATTTCTGAATAGTAGATTGTGAAACTCTCACCTGGACTGGTTTTTGCCTAGATCCAGGTAGACACCCAAAGCATAATAATGATATGTGTGCACAACAGAAGAAGATATTTTTCAGCAGCTTCACATTTGTCTTCATTTTTAT